CCTACTGGGCGATTCTGGGTGCCTGGTGCAAATTGGCCATTTGGTGAAATGCAAATTTTGGATGCGCCGCCGTGTGGCTGTGGGTGACCAGATTATATTTTTTCTTAATTTCGGCAAATCTTAGCCGATTTAAATGATTTTGGTGTCAAATTGACGGGACTGAAGAGGAGTTTTGGAAAATTGGAAGAACTGAACAAAATAGCGATTTTTAGTAAACTCGGTAATTCTTAACCGATTTTGAAGATTTTGGCGTCAAATTGAAGGGATTGAAATGTAGTTTTGGAAAATTTTACAAAATGAAAAATAAAATTCCTTAATTCGTAAATTCGACAAATCTTAACCGATTTTAATGATTTTGGTATCAAAATAAAGGGACTGAAGTGGAGTTTTGGAGAATTGGACAAAATGAAAAATAAAATTCCTGAACTCGTAAATTCGACAAATCTTAACCGATTTAATGATTTTGGTGTCAAAATAATGGGACTGAAGTGGAGTTTTGGAAAATTGGACAAAATGAAAAATAAAATTCCTAAATTCGTAAATTCGACAATTCTTAACCGNGGTGTCAAAATAATGGGACTGAAGTGGAGTTTTGGAAAATTGGACAAAATGAAAAATAAAATTCCTAAATTCGTAAATTCGACAATTCTTAACCGGTTTTGATGATTTTGGTGGCAAATGACAGGTATTTGAGAAGAATTTCCGAAAATTGTATCATTTATTAAAATGTAAAAATATAAAGGAAAAGAAATTGAAAAACTAGGGAAAATTTGTAAAAATAATATTATGTTACAAGAGATAGTTAAATAAAAACATGTTTTGTTTTATTTCAATAATTTTTAATTTGACATACGATATATTTAGTTATTTTTCCCAAAAAATGAATGATTTCTATGAAAGGAGTTAATTTTTGTTATCTTACATTTTATTTAGTAATTTTATGAATATCTTTCGACTGTTTCACTACATTTTGTTTAACTTTTATTTTTATATTTTTTATTTAAATTATATTTTGATTACAATTAAAAATAGAGATGTGCATATGCAATGAATAATGAAGCGCAGCAACTGTGAAGAGTTAGTAAACCCGGGCATGGGATGACGATACGTTAGGCTGAGATTCTCATATGTCAATGCCGCAAACCTTGTAAGCGCACGAGTGTAATACACTTAACTTCCAAGTATTTTGGTGGTAATAATTTTGCTGGTAGGCTCTCGTTTGTCAACACAGTATTCTCGACGTTATATTGTTCTACGAATGTGTATACGGAGTCGATCAGAACTTCTAAATGTCAACGCCAATGCTTGCGAAGCTACCTGCAATATGCGGAAAAATGTGTCTGTTGTAAAGTATACATATGTAAAATATATATGAAACGTATAACTATTCTGTATATAAAATAATTTTTGAATTAAAAAATCTTAAGCGACTAGAAGGGGCAATTCATAAACACATAAAGTATACAATCTCGGCTTCTAGTGACTGTTAAGAGGTCACCATTGAAATCTTACAATTTTAAGTGGTATTCTAGTCTAATAATAAAAATAAATCGTTTTTTTTAATATTGTTAAAATTTAACTATTCAAGAATATTCCTGTAGACATGTTTATTTCTATAACACAAACTATTTCCAGATTTCCAGACTTAAAAACAATTCGTGCATCGACACGCACAGTCATTCAATCGTTTTTAGTTTTACACTCCCTTTGTGAAATAAAAGCTTTATTCCTTAAAGTATTCCCCGGGCTTTGATTTTTTTTTTTGCAAGTGGAGAGTGTATAAAATTATTGGTTTCACCAAAGGTTAGTTCGTCATTATTTGTTTGGAAATAATTGAATACCTTCATATTATTACTTTGTCATAAATCAAGCACAGATTGACTGATAAAATTGTATTAGTTGGCCGAAAAGATATAGAGTTCGCGTGCTATAGAGTTAGGTGACAATATTTGATATAACTGACATACTATTATACATACATAAAATCATATTTTTGGGTTTGCTTGTGAAGTAGTTTTAAACACAATTCCTTTCTGTATATCTACTACTATTTCAAAAAACGTATAAAAATTTTCGTTAAAAAATTTAGAAGTTGCCATAATATGATATTTAATGTTATACTGCTACAAGAAATGCAAATATTTTTTGTGAATAATAATACAGGCAGCCAACTGGCTAATAGATGATAAAGGTGTCACAATTATTAAATTAATGGCTCTAATCAATATAATCATACACACGTTTTTCGCGCTATTGTGTGTACATCAAAGGAGAAAGAGGATGACAAAGGAAAAATTGGCACGCTCATTACATTATCCATCGCGCTGTTTTCTTTAATTTTTTATTTTTGATTATCTTAGGAGTTAACCAATTTTTATTAAACGAAGTACTCTGTGTAAGTACCGATCAACAATATAAATGTAAGTTTAGATGTATTTTTGAAAATTTATTAAGTTCTGACTAACTACTAACGTAATGTTCTATACATGAAGATTTCACAAATCGACTAAAATTTTACATTTAAATTCATAAACCACGCAGAAGTTATTTCAATTATTATTACTTTTGCTGCTGAATAGGTAATTGAAAGTAAATCATTGATTTCAAAACGGCCAAAATGTTAATAATTTAGGTTCATTGAATGGAAATAAAATACGAATATTAAATGAAAGTTTCGGTCAATATTCGAAATGTTCAGCTTGAAACTATATAAATATTTTTCGAAAACCTTTTTATATTATTTAACTAGAATTGAGCGAAAAGAAATTCACATACGTCAACATTTTATATTATATTGTTTGAATGGAAAGTAATAGGACTGAGTCGATTAAAACCAATTTATTGAACCAACCGTTAGAATTCTTTAAAAATTTTCAAAAGAGGCTCCGTCTGCGTCGATGCAGCAATGCCAGCGCGATTTCCAAGCATTGAAGGCGTCACGGAAGGCATTCTCCGTAATAACCTTGAGAGCCGAGGTTCATGCTGCTTGGATTCCCTCTGTCGTCTCAAAATACCTGTCTTTCATTGACCTTTTCAGGAAAGTCCGTGAGGCCATATCTGGGCTGTAGGGTGGCTGCGGAAGTGTTGGGATGTAGGCCTTGGCAAGAAAGGTGGTGTGAGCCGGGGCATTGTCGTAGTGCAACTTTAAATCGGCTGCGATGTCTGGTCGGATCCAATTGACGCTTTGTGTGAGTCTCTTCAAGACTTCCACGTAAAATTGGTGTTGACGGTTTGTCCATGAAGAACCAATGAGAAAATGTTTGTCCTGACTCTCCAGGTGTTCGGATACAACAGACCAGCCGTTCGTTCTGTTTATATCATAAGAAATACGTTCCCTAACTCGCGCACGCTCCGACGTATAGTCGGCTTGCAAGAAAATCAGTCCTATTACTTTCCGGACATATCCTGTATTGTAGCAACTCAAACTATAACACTGTAACAGAGACTGTAACTGTTATGTAATTCACTCATAATCTGCGTTTTATTGTAAATGTAACTTAAAAACATGTTTATAATTTCGTATTGAATTATAAACTTTATGCAAATATATTTAGTTCTATGACATATTACATGTTTAAACATATATGGTACATATACTCGTTCCACGTATTCTATACATAAAATAATGTTACTCATACAACTCATCGCAACCACACATTTTGGCATAACTTTGAGTATTCTACCAAACGAACTTAGTATTTTTGAATTTTGAATTTTCGAACGATTCGTGTTACTAGACGATAATAATAATTTTAGTTCAGTTAAGAAGATACAGCGTATTCATACAAGTTCAAATTTAATGATTTTATGAGTCCATATTTACGTGGAATGTGGCGTATTCCTATATATTTGTACATGCTAAAAACATTCACATTGAATGAGCTGCACTGAAGTCTACCAGAACTGCGGCATGCAGGTAAACGTAACTGCAATCATTTTCAACACTTATGTACATACATTAAACACTTCTTGATAGTTGTTTGCTGGTTATTTGTGGTTTTTCCATACTTATAAGCCCAATTTTGTTGTACTTTATAAGATTTATGGCTGGGTATTGAGGCTAATAGTTTAGTATTTACTAGTTAGTAAGCTGCAGTAATATCCTGACTTGGGTTATGACTACCGTTTGCTGTCATAGAAAAAAAAAATAAAAATTTTAACGAGCTGTTAAACACCCAGAACTTTTCAATTCGAATAGCTTACTCTGTTTGTAGCATAAATTGGAGCGTAAAACTGTCTGACATTATATGAATGCTGTAAGCATTGGAAAATGTAGTATTTTGGCATGTATAGGTTTGGAGTATACTGTGCTTATAAATGTAGTTTTCAAAATTCCAGTCCTGGCAAAATAGACAATCAAGGTTACAAAAATTTACAACAAGCTAAATGCTGGTAGATATGTTCAAATCCATCGTTCCATTATGTAAAAAGTATACTCGAGGTCAGAGATCAAACAAAACTTATTTCACAATTTTTATTATTATCTTAGATGTGCATTTTCCCCAATTTTTGAATCGTTTGAACCAGGATTAGGAACATCTTTCATCAGCTGAAATTAGGATAGAAATATCATTAGTTTTTAAAGACTCAGTGGTTGATTGTGACCATGCCAAGATATTTACCAACTCTAGCTAGTATAGATATAAAAGTTAATAATCTTCCTTGTTTGTGTGTCAATTACAAAAAAATTAATGATTTCACTTTTCGGTATGCAAATCAAGAAGCAATTAATATAACGAGATAAAACTTTGCAGAAATAATGCCTTGAAATATGTTCTCTTATGATCAGATCCGAATCAGACGAAAGCTGTTGAATGTCCGAATACATGGACCTAATATTCTATAGTTGACATTCGACCGAAAATATCCGTCAATGTGTGATATATGTAATTGAAATTCCTAGCCCATCCTTCCCTAATATGAATATGTCTATATGTAAAAAACGAGTTGAATCTGGTCAATACTTCCCTTAGCTTCCATATACCTAATAGCTATAAAGTTTTCGGAAATTGTAGTTGACTTTATACTGCATACATCTGTCAATGTGTGAGTAATCTCAGCTGAAATGAAAGGGCGTGTTTTATTCATAACAGTGGCAAAAATGGATAAAATGAGGCGAAAACTATATAACTAATGTAAGGATTTTCGAACAATGATACCTTGATAAAACCCAAGGATAATTTTGTAAGTCTGTGGCATATTGCTTGTTTCTCCAATATAAATAAATTAATATCAAATTATGCAAGTTATTCACGATTTCAGTGTCAATCTTTCGCAACATCTTTCATCAGCTGAAATTTCATAGTTTTATATTTTTGCAAGATTCAAAAGTATAAATGTTCGGAAATACAGGAAGGTGATTATTAAACTTATTAAACTTCCGCAGTTATATCATCGCACCACAGTTGCAAGTGGGATCACACATAATCCTACCAAATAAATACAACACTCAATTCACCTATACACCATTTATGCTCTCATCGTACACTCCAACTCTTTCATTATTTCTGCTTCATTGCCAGTTGACAACAGTCAAAAGTTCTACTTAATTATTTATTCTCTTTCGTGGTGTCCATGTATCATTAACAGCTTTCGGCTATGCAATATTCACAGATTTCTCAAGAAGTTGCCACTTAAAGCTTATTGTTCATTTTTGCATTAGCACTCCTTTGTAGTTAATACCTGTTGCAGAATTGTTCTCTACTTTTAAAGAATTTACAATATCGCATTGTTTTTACTTATTTTGAATCAAATTGATGGTGATAATTTATCACTTTCAGTACTTTTGCTCGTCTTATTAATTTGGTAGAGAAAAATCTTAAAAATTTGGTAATATATAAATAGTTAATTTTACTTTGCACTCTTAAAGAAAATTTATACTTTCTTCTCGTCTTTGGACGTGTGCACTTGCAAAAGTCTTACTCAAATCCTTTACGGACATAAGTCACTTTTATTAGTAAATGTCTGCACTATTTATGTGTACTTATTTGGTTATTCAAAATGTTTCATTACAAGAAATGTAGGTAGCTTGTGTTTACCTGTGGTATATTATTTGTAGTATGTGAGAAGAGAAACATTTCGAAGTTGCTGGTAGGAAGACATTTTGTAATATAATTCTGCATTATTGCATTTTAGAGTACATATGTATGTGTTCACTTCTATATATATTTTTAAAATATATAACTATTATTATATTACATAAAATAGAGTTTTAATACATTTCAACTGTATTTATTTCATAGCAGAACTAAAGAAAGAATTATCCTCCAATCGATTATTACCAATGCAGCAGCGCTATTGAGTGTTAACTTAAAATT